GGTGCAGGTAAATGGAACCAAGCTTCTGATTGGACATGACTCCTAGCCGAACGCTGATGGCGTAGTCATGTCCAACCTATGAGCGAAAGTGACCTTCTTTATTCACGAAAAAAAAAATCTTCATTTAGACTTTCTTATCAAGGAGCTGTTTCTTGGTCGAGCACCTAGCACCTCACTCCTTCTCTCCCACCCGTCAACCAATCAGTGACGAGCCTCGCGGCCACGCTTTCATCCAGGCTTCGCATTTATCTAGGCTTCACGAAATGCCCTACATCTAGCCAGGAAATATTTCACGCTAAAAGTTTATCTCCGAAAACACACTTTAATCTTGGTTTACGTCAGGCTTGTATATTCATTTTCATAGTAGTTTGGACGTTTTCCTCTTGGAAATCGCGGTTTAGTACACTCGCCTGGTGCAGAGCTCCAGTTGTGGGTTTGGTACAATAAAACTGTTTCGGTCTACTTGGCTCATGTAATTTAAAAGGTTAAAAGCGGGAACAGAAACGCGAACGAAAAAAGGAGTATGTACGACCAGGAGAGGCGCTATACTTACAGTTGACTTTACTGAAGAAACATACATACTCAGCCAGTCTGTTGTTCTCCATACCGATAACAAGCCATAAATCGATGATATATCTACAGTCACATATGAAGCCACTTTAAGAATGCATTTACTTTTAAGCAGAAAGGTTGATGGCATTCTTACACACTTTTAACCCGCGTTTCAATCGAGAAAGTTTCAGCGATTTTTCTCTCTGTCTTTTGATTCGCGATTTTTCCAAACTTCGTTGATTGTTAAAGCGCTTCGCAACCGCAACGCGTACAATGGTCCGTGAGATACCTTCCCTAATTGTTACGTACAACGAGCCTCTGCTTCCTCGCCATATACTGCACTGCTAGTATAGACAGACGAATAATTGGAAATCTAAAGCGGGCTCATAAATACACACTCCTGATTTTTTTGGTTACGACAGGTTCATTAGTAGCTATTAGTAAGTGCGTTCTAAAATTGGGGGGATAATTCGTTAACACACCTATTATGAATGAGCGGTATAAATACCTTGGTCAGTTATTAAAGACTGCTGATATTCGAGAAATTGGGTTTATAAGAGGTCCCACACTTTGGATGTTATGAATGGTAAGAATTAAAATATCTGCAGCGTTTCCACATAGCTGAGTTGTGGAACAGCTTGTACCCGTCGCGGCAAAACAAAATTTTATTTCAGCAAAAAAAACCGCCTGACTTTCGGAGTTAAAATATGTTATAAAAGGTCGTTTATATATATATATATATATATTGCTGTGAGTAGAATAAAGCGAGGACCGAGGTAGCTAAGCCAAGGCACCAAGTAGATGATATTGGCTAAATGTGCGTGTTGTAGTTTCCTAGCACTTAAAATTTAAAAAAAAATACCTAACATTCACAGATATTCGCACTGTTTCAGTTACAACCAATCTGGATTCTGCTTGACGCGAAAATGTGTCATGCAGGAGAAGAAACATTCGTCATTACTAAATGAACGAGCGCGGTTGTCTGTGAACGTCCTCTGCGTTTTTATTCTCGATTTAATGTATATAACGTTACTGGAAACATAATGAGGCGGTCCTGTAGGCGCAACCAGATGTGTTACACGTCACTGAAACAAAGCGACTGAACACCATTAGTCGCTACATGCACAATAAGTAAGTACCTTACTTGTTACCGAGATTCAAAAAGAACACGTTACTTCAGCTTAAAAGTAATGTGTTATTTCTTCGCTAGCATGAATGTGTTTTTTTTATGGATGAGTAGACACTTTCAATACATGTCGACGTTAATACTTCCTTGCTTTTTAATACGTCCATTCAGGGATATCTGTGGCAGTACTGACATACATTCTGCACATATGTTTATGGTTTATATAGAATTTCTGTTGTTGCACTCGTTCCCCTACATGAGGAAATAAATACTGTTAATCTTTACTCCATCAAAAAGTATCAAATGTACGTTAGTCGTTTCTTCTCCTAAAAAAGTAACCATAGCAAAACAAGTAACTAGATACAAGTAACGCGTTACATACAAGTTTGGGCACAACTTCAAGGCATGCTTTTCAAGAAGTACTAGAAATGTTCATGTGTATTCCGGTAAGGGACACACCCACGATATATATAGATGTATCTAGCAGATTTTATGCAAGAGGCTAAGCGCCGATTACCTATGTCTGGTTCGTCTGATAGTGCATTTATAGTGATGCTGGACCAAAATTTAGATTTCGCAAAATAAGGCCTCAGAAGAGCGTTGAACGGGGCGCTGCGAACGCCAAAACAACACGCACACGTCGATATCTCAAACGGATTGCCGTAGTTTTGGAAAAGAAGGGCGCGATCAAGTCGAGGACTGTGACGTCACAATCCTCCTGGAACAGTTGAGAATCGGGAGAAGCGGCTTTGCTGCTGTCCTCCTCGCTTCTGTTCACCTCCTCGAGGAAACGAAGCAAAGAGGGGAGGGAATGAGAATCGTGACGTCACACGTCTCGTCGGCCTTGTCGGCCGAGTTAATCGCGCGCTTCTTTGCGAGAAAAATACGGCCAGCCGTTAGAGATATCGCAGCATCACTGATGCTTTTGGGTTTTGCATCCCCCTCCCTATCCCTAAGACCTTTTTTTTTTTTTTGTGAGCTCCAAAATTTCGGTCCAGTATCCCTTTAAGGAGTCAACCAACAGCCTCTGTGCCTACAGTGGCTACTTGTTCGATATGTTGGTTACACGTAGTTCGTTCATCACTCCCAAGTACCTAAGATGCCTGCCTCGGAGATCAACTGTTGAGATAGTATCGCTCTATCGTTATGTCAGAATTTACCGAGAAAGCAAAGAAATTGCACATTCCGAAGCATTGAAAGTGGGGTGCAAGTACGATACTTGTCCAAATATTACATTACAATATAGCTCTAGTTTCGAACAGGCGCCTGAATATAGTTGTCAGGTGCAAAATTGCGTTCTAATTTGCGTATATAAACGCTCTTATCTCTGTCTATAGTGCAATCGATCTTAACATAACATTAAACATCAGCACGAATAATACCGATTCCCGGTTGAATCTCTTTTTTTTTATAAGGCGGCGTTAGAACAATGGAATGAGCTATTTGGCAAAAATATTTAAGGCCCGTTTACACTCTTGCAACCGAGTACGACCGAAAGAGACCAGACTTGTTAAAACCTTTTAAATTTCTTAGGACGAGAGAACACACTGGCACGCTGGCGCCATCTATGCGGTGACCCTAGAACTGCATTTCAGAAGAGCGAAGGTTTTGCGGGATTTCCGAGGTCAAATGTGCGTAACACCTACAAAAAATTCTCGTTTATAACCTTGACAAGTTTTTCGAGCCAAGAAAGAAAGGATAATGCGCGAGAGCAATAGAAAATATGCCGGACTGGCCAAGTATACACTGCTACCCAATAGAGGGTGCCAATGTGTCCTCTCGTTTCTAGGGAGGCTCAAGTGAGGGTGGGCGCAACTCAAAACGTGGAGGGCGTTTGCAATTTAATGGCGGCGCCTGAGAGAGAGGATTGGGAAAGGATATGCATCAATGTTGTCTGCACTGCCTGCGCGGGCTGAGCTAAACCGGCTAAACTGACCACGCATGCGTTTTCGCCTTCTCGCTGTCGGCGAATATCATGGGGAGCCCCGCGAGCAGAACAGTGGCTGAGAAAAGTCAACGGCTTGCTCAAAGCAGCGTCTCAGCTGAGTCTGACTCAAGCAAATGTTGTCCAAGCTAGTCTTCGAGCCTAAACAGCGTCCGATGCGTTCGGGCGCCTCATCCTTGACAGCGCTTTCTTGAGTCGGTCTCAGCTGAGACGCTGCTTCGATCGAGGCGGCCGTGATTACTGCGGTCGTCGCATATGTTATCACAGGGGGTTTGACAAGGCGTAATAAAGGTAAGTACGCTCTCATTGATAGAGACGGAAGCATGTGTCTTTGTACGATTTATTTTTTATTTTTTTTTTTTGCACGAACAAGGCAGACAGTTACGCTCAAAAAGCTTGACTTCGCGCTGGCTACAGTTGCTTGGGCTGAACGAGAGTACTGCTGTTATTACTGTGTGTGCTAGTTCGTAACCACAGTACGCACAGCTATAAAAATGATTAAAAACTTGCTGCTGGGCTAGTTGCTTCATGAAACTGGAATAAAACTGGTTGCGCTTGTCCTGTCCACTCCTTTTATCGCTGTCTGTGTTGCGCATAACCAGTTTTTATTAAGTATGAAAATGATTACCTGTATCGTAGGCGCGCAGTCGTGCTAAGGTAGAGCCGTACTCGCACACACAGGTCGCGGTGGGATGCTAGAAAACGACTTGCGGAGCTTCGGCGTAGAGAACGGTTGGCGCTTCCGTGAATGAAGGTTAATGCACCGTTTCGTGCTTACGCATTGTCATTCACACATAGGTGAATGCATTACGTTCCTACCTTTGTTTATTGTGCGTGCCCGCTGGCATTGACATTTTTTGTTTCACGATATATCTTTGCTTTCATTATTTTCTTTTAATAAACGTGCTATATTCTCTTAATGAAATTGTTCAGTAAGCCACATACATATTCATATTTTATCTGTGTGCATACGCAAATACAAATTATATAAAATCACCTGAAAACAAGGTCAGAATTATACAGAGTTCTACAAAATTTACATAATCTATACAAAATCGCATGAAAACATGCAAGATCACAACTATAACATTTAAAAGTTGCCATGCAAATGTACCACCTCAGAAGAAACAAAATCATAACACAACAGCGATGACATTAGGCAAAAAGTCGAAGACAAGGGAAAAGAGTAGCTAAAAATAGGATTATGTAGAACGCAAGTGGAGCCATATTAATGTACTTGCTGGTCCATATCACGTTGTACCCATGCAATTCATGAATGAAACAAAAGGCTGAACTTTTTGGTTAAAGCAGCAGCTATGTACTACTGATGCCTTAAAATAATGAGTGCCATGTTCAAATGTTTTCCTTAAAAAGTGGTTACTTCAAAAGGGTAGCGGCTCCGCTTTTGCTGCTAGGACACGAGCGCAATCTCGGCCTCAGCTGTTTTGACAGGAAGTGGAATCTGCATGTAAGGTACTTCATGATAACCCTCCCTTTAATATTGTGGCATGTTGGGAGCTGCACATGCTGAGTCATGTGAAGCGTTTTTTCGAGGAGCTGCTTCAGGAGGTTCAACCTCTTCAGCTTCTGGAGTTGTGGGGTGAGTGCCTGAAACAACTTCTCAGTCTTTGTGAGTAGCTCGAACACACTCTCCGAGCACCTCATCAGTGCACCTGGCTTCCACTCCTTCAGGAGGAGAAGTGAGGATGGCAAGGCTCCACTGTCACTTTCCTGCACAACACTATCTGCACACAAAGTACACTTAGAAAGAGTCTTGCGGAGTGTGTACACCACATACCCTCCCAAGTAGTACAACACCTGTCTATCGGTTTCCTGTAGTACCGGGAGACTGAACTCCTCTGGGAGCACAGGTTGTGCTTCTCCAGGAGCTTGGCTTGTGTGGAGAGGGGTCAGAAACTCCCCAAGGAAAGTGCTTTCGTCTTCCTCATAGCTGGAGCCTGAGGCATGCTTCAGAAACTGTGCGACAGTCACAGTCTTCAGCGTGTTCCGAAACTGCACTGGTGTCGGAAATTTTGCACGCGTTCTTATGGCGGAGAAAAAATTCTCCAGACAGTCTTGGGAGAGTCGTCCAGTTAGGACGAACTTAAAGCCCTCTTGGAGGAGCACCTCGTGCAGCTCCAGCACGCAGCTCGTTGAGAGCACTGCTCCAGATTGCCACGGCTTGTAAGGCTCCATCTGGGGGCCTCCTTTGGTCACCCTCAGGTTCCGATACAGGGTGGTCATCATTTTCAGAAACTTAATTGTGTTCTCATAGATTTCCATGTGAGCTTGGCCGAGTGCCATTTGTGGAGATCGATTTGACATCAAATCAAACCACTTCCTCACATTGTCGACAAACCATGCCGTTGTCAGTGCCTGTCTGTTCCAGTGCTCATGCTCAACAAGGTAGCGGAGAGCAGCTGCTGTGTCTCGGCTGAGGACCCGCATGGCAACATTCACTTTCATTGATGAGAATTGGCCCCGTTCAAGAGCTTCAGTTGTCAGCTGGGGGGCCAACTTAAGCTGTCTTTCTGAGTCACGGCGAGCAAGTTGCCGAACATACTGGAAGTTAACCTTGTTGGTCGGCAGCTCAAAATTTTCCACAATGTCATCTGGTATGATGACTTGAAACTTCAAGCATGCTGACTTGATCCTTTTCAGGAGATGAGGAACGTCCGCCATAAAGTATAGTGTTGTTCCTTCATTTCCGGGGTACGGGCATTTGTAATTCAGGCACGTCGTGCCGCTGTGGATTCCATTGGCATTCCACACACCTCTGTTCAGGGACCCCATATCGCTTGTCACGCAGCGAACTTTGAGGCCTATTGTGCTAGCCTTCTCAATGATGCTTTTTACAGCGTCAGCACACATCTTTGGGTCGGATGATTTAGTGGTGAGGTGGTAGGCAACGGTTTGTTTCCATCTGGATGCAAGCCCAGACAGCATAAACACCAAAGCCTGTGTCGCTTTTGAGTCAGTGTCTGGCATGGTGGAGTGCCCGAAGAAGCCTCCCGTGCGGCCGTCATAATCCAACCTTGGTGAAATTGACATTTCATCCATAGTGAGGGCACAGTGCCTCTCGATGTCTGTCATTTGACTTACTTTCACAGACAGCTGTTGAAAAACCTCATCTAGAATCCCTGGAGTAAACTGCAAGTGTTGAAGGCGGCGACGAAGTGTGCAAACCGAGGGAAGTGGAAATGACTCGGAGATTAAATCTGCATAACCATTGCTTCCACAGGACAGCCACAGTTTGAGTCCCTTTTTTACTGTTGTATTGTCCCATTTTTGTCCCCGCGTTGACCTTCTCCCTAGCATTTCGAGCTGGCATGGAGTCATGCACCGTGTCAATTTTGTTGTGAGAATGCTGTTCATCTTTTTAAGTGCCAATGTCTTGTTGATCGCAGCTTTCTTTTGGCATTGGAGCGTTGCGATCCTTGCACGGAGCAGCTCCAGGATGTTGGGGTCCACCTCAGCAGGAGAACCAGGTCGCTGCATGCCTGATGGCCCTGGCTGCTCAATGTCCGATGGGTCTGGAGCCTCCAGGGGCATGTCCTGCCTGTTGTCTCCCGAAGAGCCTGCAGGCTCTGCACCCTCTTGCGATGGAGCAGCAAAAGCAGCAGGTGGCAGGGCTGTCAATATACGTGTGGCGAGTAAGATAACATGGATACCATTGAACAATCTCCGATGCCCCAAAAACCTCTATCTTTTGTTGCTAGGAACATAACTTGTATGAAGACAGCTCCCAATCATTGTTTTACTTCAGATTTACAAACAATATTTCCTGAGAAAAAAAATCAAACTAAAATCAGCAATGCATTGCAAAAGAAAGTCACGCTGAAGATCCCAGGAGTCAATTGTATTGTTCGAAGCTCCCTGATTTTGTGTTCATTTAGTTTCTTTACAGCACCATGTTTCTAATTTAATGGTTGTGATAAAAATGATGGTTGTGATAAAAATGAAGTTTATGAATTCCATTATTTTTATCTATGAAGATGTGCCAAAGCTGGCTTACTAACTCTGAGATATCTGACTTCTGTTTCCCCACCCCATGTGACTGAGGAGAAGAGAGCAGGGAAGCCCTAACCGACCAGTACACATTTGGCAATTTTCTAGTGGTAAATATAAGAATATAAGCCTTCCCTCCTATAATACCAATCGAAGGTAAATAAATAAATAATTAAATGGAGGTAGAGTATGTTGGTTGAAGTCAAGATTTAAAGGGGCACTAAAGAGCTTTCAGTGATAATCTTTTTATGATGATAATGCAATTTACATGCTCTAAGCATCCTCGAAAATCCAAGTTTACAACCTTCCGTTCCACATTTTTGTATTAAAAAAGTGCTCCAGTATTAGGACAAAACACATTGACCTAAACAAAAAAAAAAAAAATGAAGGCAACAAGTGCTCATGAGCCAATAACAAATGACGGCTGTGCTGTTTTCCTTTCGAATCAGTCTTTGGCATGGTGGAGTTTTCCAACTGATCTCTGGTGCTTGGCAGCCAATTGCAAGCGACGGCTTCACCATTTTCCGTCTGGCTGCTAGCCTCACAGCAGGGAAGCCGCTGCTTGCGAACGGCTGCCGGCTGCCGGCAACAAACGGCAGTCATCACTTGCGTTTCGCTTACAAGCACATTGTTGCCCTCAGTTTTTTCGCGGTCAAAATGTCCTGTCGGAATGCTTGAGCTCTTTTTAAAGCAGTAGCTTCATAAGGCCAACCAACCTCAGGTGCCGTCTAAGCACGAAATCTGTAGGAAAGTCTGTCTGTAACGGTTAAATAATATTTGTTTTTTAGATAATTTTTCTAGTGACAGTGGATCAAACCTTGGTCACTGACGTGTAACGCGAGCGCGCTGGTGCTTAGGTACAGACCCAAAACGACGGAACAGTATGGGCAAAAGCATGTCTTGTGAGAAAGTGTGCAGAGCCCAGAGGGTTGGAAAGGACAAGAAAGAGAACAGCAGACCGATGGCAAGCAGAGGCAGCATGTGAATGGCTGGCTTGTATGGCCGCAGCAGGTCGAATTGCTGCAGCAGCAGTGAAACGTCATCATCATGCCCAGTATCCATCAGGAGACCAGCAAGCCCAGGATGTAGCGACTCAGCGTCACAAGCAAGTCCGGCAATCTTTAGAACCGTGTTGCGCTCTAGTGGCGGAGGTCCCACGTCAGCGTCCTGTTCTTCACTTGTTGGAACAGTACCGAGCTCAAGAAGTGGAGGCTGCTTAAGCTCGACGCTTCACGATTGACGCATTCTTCCCATCAATTGTCAAGCACTGATGCGATGTACAAGTACATCGCATCAAGCATCAACATGAAGAAAGACGTAGACGCTCAACACCTTTCAGCGTTTTGAGCTAAGGTTGAAAGACTCGTGGAACATTAAAAGTATTGAAATCAAATTTTGTTTCGTTTAAAAACAAATTTTGCCAACAATGGCTCTATTGATGCTATTTTTAGAGACTTTTCAAAGGCCTTTGATCGTGTATCACGCAGTCGATGTCTGATAAAAAAAACTACAATATCTCAAAATTAATGATAGGTGATTGCTTGGATTCGTGAGTTTTTGCACGATATGAAACAATCAGTAATTGCAAATGACATCACCTCACCACCTATACACGTCAAATCTGGTGTCCAGCAGGGATCCGTTATTAGACCACTTTTGTTTTTAATTTATATAAATGACCTCCCCAACAACATTTCTTCAATGATTAGCCTATTTGCAGACGGCTGTGTGGTATACCGTCAAATAGCTAGTCAAAGCGACTGCCTAACTCTTCAAAGTGATTTGGATATCATACTTTCATGGTGTGACACGTGGCATATGCAGATAAATATAGATAAAACAAAAACAATGACATTTACAAATCGTTGCTCATCTTTTCTATACGACTACAAAGTTGTAGATTCAAAATTGGATAAAGTATCCAGATATAAATATTTAGGAGTCCATTTAGCTTCCAACCTCTCCTGGAACACTCATTTAGATTATATCCTTAGGAAGGCTAACCAGTCACTGGGTTTCTTAAGAAGACATTTATAAATGGTAATAGCAAAAACCAAACTACTTGCATACTCTACCCTCATTAGGCCAAAGTTGGAATATGCAGCTATAATTTGGAACCTGCATCAAATATATTTAATTAATAATCTAGAACCGGGGTTCTCAAGTGGGGGTCCGCGGACCCTTTCGGGTCCGCGAAAGCAATCTAGGGGTCCGCGAAGCCCTGCCTCATCATGAAGGCCGGCAATAAAAGTTGTTTTTTCTTACACTGAGCAAGTACATTTCAATCTCCGGGTGTGTTTTCCGTAGCGTATGTCAATTTGAGAAGTCTACTTCACACTCGTTCTTAGTTATTTCAATTTATTAAGTTTTTATTATAGTTAACCTATACATTTCCCTTCACCTCACCACGAACGGGGTCCTCCATCATCTCGGCCTACCCATAAGGGGTCCGCGAAGCATCATAGGTTGTGAACCACTGATCTAGAATCACTGCAGAACAGGGCCAACAGGTTTATACTAAAAATGTATTCACCTATACACTCTGTGCGACGCGACCGGCGCGCCGTTACGCGGCCGTTACCGAAGGTAGGCAGTGAGAGCCCCTGCGAAAGGAAACCACGTCGCATACATTGGTACGCATTGAAGTCCGAGCAGTGCGGTTGCGCTGGGTTGACAGTATAAACTGCTGCGTCGTTAAGTGCTCCAATAGTTATGCATCATATCTCGTGGGGACGAAGTTTCAGTTTTTCACCTCGCCGATGTTTTGTGGGACGGCGACAACGATGGACCCGTGCCGTAAAACGCGAGAAATTTGGTCTCCCGATCATGTCTGCCACTATGTCGGCACGGCTGACATATTCTACACTGCCGCTTTGCATTCTGTGTTTGTTTTCGTACCAGTAACGCCTACATATCTCAGCTCGAACTGAAAGGCCATGCCACACTCGTGGGCATACTGCGAATTTCGTTGAAGGAATGCCCTCCAAAGAAGTTTCGTCCCCACTGTACATGTCAATGATATTTCCGGACCAGTATGGCTCGCAGTCTGTACTTCATGAAGAAAGATTTGGACGGCACAAAAAGTGTCAAATATGAATCTAAGAAAAACTACAATGAAACTTGGAATCACTGGACAATCAATGTTCGAGTATGGAAGTTTATGTGGTGTGTTTTCTTTTTTGATCAGCCTCCTTTTGGATGTGGAAACGCTGGTACCCCAAGTCTTGTAGACAACAGTATTTTTTTCTCGGCTTTAGAGCCATTTATCGCAAAGTTGTTTGAACTGTCCACTGGTCCCTTCCTACCCAGGGCTTAAAGTTTGGGGGGCCTCAGGGGGTCTCAACCCCCCCCACTGATTTTAACGGATGGTCTGAGACCCTTTTCCACAACCCCAGAATTAGTGAAATCAAAGTCATTTCTTGCAATAAGGTAGCTTGTCTTCAGGGATGTGACATTTGGGGTTGAGGGTTGCAGGTACAGCATGGACACAGTCAGCAGTGGGGTTTATTTTATGTGCATCTATCACATCTCATCAAAACTCTCCCCCCCCCCCCCCCTTTCTCCTACCTTCTTGTAGGGACCCCCCTCAATTTACGGGGACTTTAACCACTGTTCCTACCTGTAAAGTGTGCACGTCCCGGCTATAATGAGTGGTATTCTCTTGACAGTTTTTGACGGTCAAAACCGGTTCTCATTTAGTTACGCCGGCCAAAAATATTTCCACCTGGTTAAACTATGCCTCCTCTTTTAGGTATAATAAGTGTTTTGCCAAGTTAGGGTTGTCAAAGTACTAGTGTGCCGAAAATCAGCACCTCGTTCAACCAGATTACTACACAACAGCTGACCGCAAAAGCCTTTGACAG